GATTATGAAGAAAATATTTAAATAGCTTTATTATTTCTGGTTTGCAAGAGTTCCAAAATGGAAATACTGTAAATGTCTTTTGTACAAGTCAGTAAAAATATTTTTACACAAATATGGAGTTGGCTTCTTCTCTAAATTGTTTTCTTTTTTTTCCTCCTTAAAGGGACATTATAGTCACCAGAACAACTACAGCTTATTGAATTTGTTCTGGTGAGTATAATCATTACCTTCAGGCTTTTTGCTGTAAACACTGTCTTTTTAGAGAAAATGCAGTGTTTACATTACAGCCTAGTGATAACTTCACTGGCCACTCCTCAGATGGCTGTTAGAGATCCTTCCTGGGTTATGGCTGCCTAAAATGCATCCAAACATTCAGTGTCTCCTCCCTCTGCATGCAGACACTGAACTTTCCTCATAGAGATTCATTCATTCAATTCATCTCTATGAGGAGATGCCGATTGGCCAGGGCTGTGTTTGAATCATGCTGGCTCTGCCCCTGATCTGCCTCTTTGTCAGTCTCAGTCAATCCAATGGGGAAGCATTGTGATTTGATCAAGCCACCACTTCTGATGATGTCAGCAGACTGCTTGTTTTTTGGAGGCAAACAGCATACAGAGTTACAGCTCCAGGCTTGAATACCAATGATTGTGGTGTTAACACTATAGAGTCAGGAATACATGTTTGTGTTCCTGACCCTTTAGTGATCCTTTAAACCTTATTTTGTAGAGACTTCCATTTTCAGAAATACACATATTGACACTCTTATTGTAACATTGTACAGATTAACAAACACCACTACGCAACGCCAACATCAATATAAAACAAGTTTGTTTTGGTAACTAACATATTATGGCAAGTTGGAAGCAAATATAAAAAAAGAATACAATCACCAGGCACATTCCTTTGGTAGTGACGGTGTCATTTTTAGTTCTTTAAAGATTTTACTTTTAATTACCCTATTTAATTATCAAGCATCCAGTACCATTAACCATTGTCTAGCGGTGGTGGTAATTTGTGCAGGTTTGACTACCAGGCAGTAAAGTTGATTTATTTGCATAGTAGGAGGTATTTTGGCCTAAACTTGGAGTGGGATGTTCCTTATTTTGTGCTTTAACCCCTTAAGGACTGAGCCAGTTGTACAAGTTGTGATCAGAACAAAACGTGAACAAAGCGTAAACAAAACCTTGAATTTGCGCTATATGTCTGTTCAGGCATAATTCACATATTTCATATTAAATGCATCTACACTTATTATATATAAGTTTGTTCAGGAGCAACAGGATTTTCATGTCACATCAAATATTTATATATTAAACATAATTTTATATGAATAAATTGTGAAAAATTAAGATTTGTAAATTTTTTTAGTTCTGTGTGGCATTTTAACTGTGAATGTCATAATACTGTTAGCTGTTACTGCAATAACATGCACATATTTGTATTCAGTGAAGTCTCATATTTGTATTCAGTGAAGCAAGTAAAATAGCACCCCCCAAGTACAGGTTTGATAGTGTTTTGGAAGGTTACAGGGTCACATTTAGCACAATACAATTTTTAGTTTATACACATTGAAATTTGCCAGACTGGTTATGTTGCCTTTGAGACCGTATGGTAGCCCAGGAATGAAAATTACCCCCATGATGACATACAATTTGCAAAAGTAGACAACCTAAGGTATTACAAATGGGGCATGTCCAGTGTTTTTTTAGTATCCACTTGCTCACAAACACTGGCCAAAGCTAGCATTCTAATTCGTATTTGTATGGCACTGCATGAGCCGGCTATTTAAGCCATGTGATCGCAAGGACCCGCGATCACATGGCCCTGGAGGGCCGGATCGTGCAGAAGGGGGCTTTCTGGGCTCCCAGGGAGCCCACCAGATCACGACCGCCGACGTCATAGAACACCCGCTGTCCTTTAGAGGGTAAAGCCTCCTGAATTGGTGTTAATTCTATTTATGTATTTTATAATTGCATAGCTTCAGGGGTAAATCTGTGTGTGAACTAGAATTTTAGTGAATCATTCATTTTTTGTATTGACTTTACATTTATGAACATTTGAGATAATTTTTGTTTTATTTCTTCGCACATATACCCGATTTTGTTTCTTTTTTCATGTTGCATAGTTTTGATACACTGCCTCTTTAACAATCTGAGAGCACATGGGATTAAATTAAAGATTTTATATGTCTGTCCATCTAAACTCCTGTTTTTTAAATAGGTGTTACTGATGTAAAAGACATTCTAAGCGTTTAGCCTTGGTCATTAAAGGGACACTCTGGCCATGATACTACTTTAATGCATTTAAAAAGGTTTTGACCTCATTAATATACTTTTGTTTTTTTTAATGCTTAAATCTTTATAGTTTTTGCATAAAATAAATATTTTTCAGAAGGCTGCATCATAAACCTGACTCTTTAGCCACACCCCTCATTCCAGAAAAAGAGTGTCAGAAAGACTTCCTTGTGCATACCTTTAATAAGGAAGCCTTATTGCATGAGAGGCGTGGGTAAAAAAATAAATAAAAATACAGCATATTAATGAGGCCAAAATCTGTTAAATGCATTAAAGCTATATTGGTGCCCGGAGTGTCCTTTAATTATGAATATAAAATTGCTCCAATATATATTATTTACATCTTGCAATGACAGTGTCAATATACTGATACATGATATAATGAAGCCTAAGATTTGTCCTTTTTGTTCTTTAAATGTCTGAGGGTAATAATCTGACGCTGTTTCCTCTTCGTGTATAGCTGGTCAAATGTCAATTTAGATGTTCATACTTCAATTTTAGATTTGAAATATCTTTTATGTATCTGCAATGTAGTTTAGGGTTTGATTGATTTTCTATGTTTTTATAATTTAAATTTTATTACATGACAGGAGGCTTCCTATTTTGCATAAACTTTCTTTACTTTATGCCTCCAGCAGCACAAGTCAATCAATCAGAAAGAAAAGTGTTTAACCAATCAGAGTCCAGCACCTCTTGTATATAAGTCCCTGACAGGCTTCCCATTTCCTCTTTCTTTGCTGCTTCCAGCCAAGACACAGGTCAGAGTGATTTTGTCTATAAGTGTTGATATACTATTTATTGTTATTCATCTGTTGCTTTAATAATTGTCAGTATTAATTGGGTACTAGTGACCTTTACTGCCTTTATTTTAATACTTTCTGATTTGTTCGGATTTTACACCTCTCCCCTGTCTTCCCCCCCCCCTCCTCAGTGATTCTGCTTTTCACTTGTGCTCGCGGCTCTTTGCTGCGATCGCGGCTTTAAATTGCCGTGGTCGCGGCTGGATACCGCGGCCGGGATCTCCCTTCTGGTCGGGCGGTTCAGGGCGGGCGGGGGGGAGCCGGGGACCATTTCACTTGCGGCCCGCGATCAACACGATCACGGGCCGCGCTTAGCTTTTGGCGAGATCCAAGTCGGCCATCTTAGGTGGGGAAACCGTGAATCACACGGTCGTCGTCCATCCCCACTCCTACCACTCTCAGTCTACCAGGTTCCCTCCATAGAGGCAGGGTACCTGGGAGAGGGAGACCATTTCACTTGCGGCCCGCGATCAACACGATCACGGGCCGCGCTTAGCTTTTGGCGAGATCCAAGTCGGCCATCTTAGGTGGGGAAACCGTGAATCACACGGTCGTCGTCCATCCCCACTCCTACCACTCTCAGTCTACCAGGTTCCCTCCATAGAGGCAGGGTACCTGGGAGAGGGAGATTTTTTGCTCATTCTTTTTCTCTTCTTTCAACATTGTAATTAACCTGACACCTTTTTGTGCTGTGATTATACTGCTTCATCCAGTAACAACCCTGCCTGTCTCTTATTAGTGCAATACCACATATAAATCAAATCAAATAAATAACATAAAATATATAAAAAAAATAAATAAAAAAAAAACAGCTCTTCCAGAGGTGACCCCTCTGAGTGGGGTGACCCCCCACTGGCACACTGTTTATTGTTGTTAAGGGGTGACCCCCCTGCGCTGGGTGACCCCCAGGCGTGTGCCGTATTATCTGAAGAGCGGGGTGACCCCCCTACCATATATTGCTGATACGCATGGTCGGCACCCTCCATACTACGACTGGGGTGTCCTACACACTCCTCCTCCACAGGAGGGAGAATCTATCCTAATATTTCCCCACTGGGCTTTGAAATTAAGGGCACGGCCCGTACCATTACCAGGCTCCACGGCCTAGGCAAATTGTTTTTCTATCTCTGACCGCTCATACCGGTCTTCTGGAGGGTGACCCCCTCGCTAGCCCAGGATTACAGGCAGTGGTAATATACTACAAGACAGGATAATTGGTTGGGCCCGTTGGCCACACTAGATGACCCCCAGTCGTAGGAGGAACGCCGCAACTCTTTATTGCTCGTATTTACTATTCACGTACTTCGGTACCTGACCCTATCCTGTCTTCCACAGACAGAGACTACGGCCATGAACATGGGTGAACCTTCACAACAAACTCCACCCGACTTTCAAGCGCTAATTAATTCAGCGGTGGCGGCCTCAATGGAAAAGGCCATAGCAAAATTGTTGGTCCAAACCCCACATGGGGATCCGGATACTAAGGGCCCAGAGAAGTCTTCAGGGGATAGTGCCCCTTCCAAAAGACACTGGAAGGGCAATGGCCCAGCCCCACGGACGACAAAGGGCAAGGCCCCACTCAAGAGGAGCCGCCAGGCGGACCGCCTGGGCCCGTCAACCCCTCCGCTGACATCCTCCGATGAAGAGGGAGGTAACTCACCAACCCCGCTGGAGGTTATGGACGAGTGGAGAGCGGGGGACTCCCCATCTGAGGAGGACGACTGGTTTGACATACCCCGCGGCCACACGGGATCTGAACTGGTCGAGGAACAGGACGCCCGTCATGGGCATTGGAAGGTCGACACACAGGCGGACAGCCTAGAGGACGGCACCTTCGTGGACCCCCAAGGCACCCCGATGTTTGATCCGCGTACGATACGTCACCCGAGATCATCGGAATGGGGCCTAATGGACCATTTAGCCCAATTTATTCACTTTTGGCTACGACAACCAATGGACAAAGAGGTACGGGCAAGACTGAAGGCCGGGTGTCCGAGACCCAGTCTACCGGACAAGATTGCTCACACGCCGGAATTCGACACCACGGTAGTCGTATTCATGTCGCGGACGGGCCGTGACCAGCGTAAGGGCATTGAGAAGGGCCTCAAAGCTTCTCAAGACAAGTTACTGGATATGCTTGGCCCACTAGCTAAGATCTTGTACCTCGCAGACGGAGCGCTTACGCAGGGGAATGCCTTAGACGCCCACGATATCAGGGAATGGGCGCAACGCGCGATCTGCTTGTTGGGCAACACCAACGCCGCACTCTGTGCGGAGAGACGCAAAGCCGTGCTACTCAAGATGGACTCCAAGCTCCTGGAACTCGGCAAGAAGGAATTGGGACCACGGGCCAATGGCCAACTATTCGGAGAAGCCTTCATTGGAGAGTTAAAGAAACATGTGAACTTATTCACGACACTGAGCAAAGCCCAGACTTCCATTAAACAAGTTTTTCGCAACCCTACTCCAGCCAGAGGGGTTTTCGGCAGGGCTGGTCGCCATCGGGGCCGAGCCACCAGCCGTTTCTGTCCAACAGGCCCCAGGAATCAAACTTCTCAATCGTTCTTCCCATCGAGACCACCCTTCTCGAGAGGACCCTTCCGACCCAGAGGGGCTCGTACCCGCGGACGCTTCAATACAGGTGAGCACCCCTCAAGTACCGTTTTGCCTCTCTCATGTCACTGCTGGCAGACTGTCTCTTTTTTCACAGAACTGGGAAAAGATATCCTCCGACGCCTGGATCCTCCAAACGATCAAGGGCTACGAGATCGATTTTGCGCATACACCGACCCAAACACGTCGACCACAACCGATACGGACGTCAGCGGAACTCGCCAAGCTCATAGACGGCGAGATCCGAGCGCTGTTCCTCAAAGGGGCAGTCGAATTTGCTCCCGACGACACAGGTTTCATCAGCAACATATTCCTGGTCCAGAAAAAGACGGGAGACTACCGACCCGTCATCAACCTACGCAGCCTGAATTCATTCGTAGCCTACAGACACTTCAAAATGGAGGGCATACATCTTCTCAGAGATCTACTTCTGGAACACGACTGGTTGACCCGTTTGGATTTAAAGGATGCCTACCTGTCAGTTCCGATGGCACAATCCAGTCGACCTTTCCTTCGATTTCACTGGAAGGGACGCACATGCCAGTTCACGTGCCTCCCATTTGGCCTCAGCTCCGCCCCTTGGTGCTTCACGAAACTGCTGAAGCCAGCCATGGCACATTTACGGACAAGAGGGATCCGATGCCTAATCTACTTAGACGATATACTGATTTTCTGCGACAACGCATCCAGACTACGATCTCAGACGAAATTCATAGTGCACTTTCTGGAATCCTTGGGTTTCATTGTGAACACGGAAAAGTCAGCACTCTCCCCATCGAAAGTCGTGCAATTCCTCGGATTCGAGATAGATTCAGTAACATGCACGCTTCGCCTCCCCAAGTCGAAGATTGCGAACATTCGGAAGGAGATACGCCGTTTTCTACGGAAAGACACGGTCCCTCTGAGACTGCTAGCCAGGATTGTCGGCCTACTTTCGTCTTCCATACAGGCAATGTTCCCGGGACCCCTCCACTACCGGGCCATGCAAAGACTGAAAGCTCACCATCTAAGACAAGGACACTCATACGATCAGGCGATCAGGATAACCGCGGAAGTTCGGACGGAACTTCGTTGGCGGCTGCTCCAAATGGAAGCTTGGAACGGCAGGGCCATATTCGGCTCGAACCCAGACTTCATCCTGGAATCGGATGCCAGCCTGTGGGGTTGGTGAGCCCACTGCGCACACGCATCCACGGGGGGCCCCTGGTCGGAGGAGGAAAAGTCACTACACATCAATTGTCTAGAGTTGATAGCCGGCTCATTCGCCATCCGCAGCCTGGCCAAGCACGTGTCCAATTGTTGCATACTTCTACGCATGGACAACATATCGGCAGTCCAATACGTGAACAGACTGGGGGGAGCCAGGTCACGAACATTGACGGAGGCTACCAAAGACATATACCAGTTTTGCCTCCCACGCAACATAACTCTCAGAGCGGAATACTTACCAGGCCTCAAAAACCTCACGGCGGATTGGTTCTCCCGTCATTGGCGGGACTCCAGCGACTGGCATCTGGACACAGAGATCTTCAATACGGTGAGATCGATCAGGGGACCACTCCACATAGACCTATTTGCCTCATGCACGAATACACAACTACCGAGGTATTACAGCTGGTTACCGGACCCCCAGAGCGAAGCAGTGGATGCCTTTCTACAGCACTGGCCTTCGATGGGAGCATATGCTTTCCCACCATTCTCAATGTTAGCAAGAGTGCTCCACAAACTACGCACGTCCAAGGCATCTCTGATTCTGATCACACCCTTATGGAGAAGCCAGGCATGGTTCCCCGACTTACTCGCACTATCTCACGACCATCCGCTGGTCCTGCCGACGTTTCCCATGCTTCTTACGAATCCGGATGCGGAACCTCATCCTCTAATACTTCAAGAACGTCTAGAGTTGGTAGCTTGGACGCTTTCAGGGGATCTTGGGCAATCCCAGGCTTATCGCAAAAGGCTAAGGACCTCCTTTGGGACTCTTGGGCACCAGGGACTAGACGTAGCTACATGGCAGCATGGGATGTATGGGACCGCTGGTGTATGGGAAGGAGCCTCGATCCCTTTACAGCACCTGTATCGGCCATACTAAATTTTCTTTCCACTTTGTTTTCCAACGGGAAATCATACCGGTCCATTAACGTTACACGATCCGCTATATCGGCGGCACATGTTCCAGTTAACGGTACCCCAGTGGGTCAGGAAGCCTTAATATGTCGACTATTACGAGGCATCAAATTGGCTAGACCACCGGCTCCGAAATATCACCAGTTATGGGATGTGGTCATTCGATTCATTCAGAACTGGCCGGATAACTCTGCTCTATCACTCAGACAATTAGCGGCCAAACTTACTTTGTTATTATGCTTAGTCTCTTTCCGTCGTGTATCGGATGTTCGGGCTTTCGACGTGAACGGATTTACTATAACGCCCGTCGGTGTTACGTTTTTGATATCCCGAAGGACTAAGACGGACTCCAAATCCGTGTCCTACCCCTTTTTTCCGGCGGTTCCTCGTCTTTGTGTCGTCTCCACCTTACTCCGTTATGTGGAGGTTACGGCGCCTCTTCGGGCTAACGGAACGGGACAACTGTTAATCTCATATACCAGACCATACAAACCAGTTACCACTACTACATTAGCTAGATGGATACGGTGGTTATTGTCCCTAGCCGGGATAGATGCTAGTTTCGGGGCCCATTCGGTTCGAGGGGCGGCGGCATCTAGGGCCTTCTCGGCGGGTGCCTCCCTGGCGGACATTCTACATACGGCGGATTGGACCAGAGAAAATACCTTCAGGGTGTTTTACTTTCGCCAATCGCACACGTCCTTAGCGTTTTTACCCCAGCGTTAAAAATGCAAAATAGGAAGCCTCCTGTCATGTAATAAAATTGTAGATTATGCTAGCGTAGTGTACAGATAATCTTAATTTTAATAATGACAGGAGGCGAGTATTTTCCCCCCCTTGTTTTTTTGTTCCCTCCCTATACTCTTATGATTCACATACAATTTCATCTAGCTATGGGTAAAAACTGAGGCAAGGGACGCTTAGACCATATGTCGTTAACTAGTTAGCACAGTTTTTCAGATCAGAATTGAACCACGCAATGTACACAGGATTATATGTCTGTCAGAGATATTAACGTTGATTTTGTTAGTTTAGATTTAAGATACTAACGTTAGTTTCGCTAGCTTTAAGACTAGGATTAAACGTTGATATGCGGACAACAGTTGTTTTCCCACGCCTTTCACTTCTTTCTATTTCTTTCAGCTTAACATCACTTCATGAGAAGAAGTCGGATCATAGATTTCCACTGCGTTCCCACAAGTTGACAAGTTATACCTTTCAAGTTTTCATCATCTACGAAGAGTTTTTTCCTCCGCATGGTCACAACAAAGAAAGAGGAAATGGGAAGCCTGTCAGGGACTTATGTACAAGAGGTGCTGGACTCTGATTGGTTAAACACTTTTCTTTCTGATTGATTGACTTGTGCTGCTGGAGGCATAAAGTAAAGAAAGTTTATGCAAAATACTCGCCTCCTGTCATTATTAAAATTAAGATTATCTGTACACTACGCTAGCATAATCTACAATTCTAAAATTACTTCTTTAACCCATAAAGTTGAAATTCTCACACAAGGCATGTAGGATTTGCAAAATGCTAATGAGAGACTTCTTTCTTACATTAGAGAAATGCAAAATAAGGTTACTCATTCTTCAAGTGACCCTGCTTTCTGCAACCCAGAAAAATTTTATGGAGATCGCTCTAAATATAGATAATTTTTGAATTCATGCAAATAATTGTTTACTCTTAAACCTAGGGATTACCCCACAGACAGGATTAAGGTCTGTTCAATAATTTCCTATTTAAGGGGTGAACCTATGTCCTGGGCACATTCATTTCTGGAAAATGAAGATCCTATATTGGATTCTTTAGATAATTTTATTGAGGCAATGGCATTACTTTATGAGGAGCCTAATAAACAAGCTACTGCTGATCTTACCATTAGATCATTAGAACAAAGAAATCGTCCTGTGGAGGATTATATAGCTGATTCAAAAGATGGGCTTCAGAGACCCAATGGAATGATATAGCGCTAGTAATCAGTTCCGTTTACAATGTCTGAAACAGTTAAAGATTAATTATCTAGAACCACTCTCCCTCCAACGCTTGATACATTAATTCAACTCTCTATCAGTATAGATAGAAGAATCAGAGAACGTAAAGCCGAAAAGGCTCTCTCTAATTCACTTTGGAAAAAACACAGTCCTCCTTTGCGAATGCCTAATAAACCCTTGCAACCAATTGAACCTATGGAAGTTGGGTTTATTAGGGGACCTTTGTCTATTGAAGAAAAATAAGGAGAGAATTAAATCTCTGCATGTATTGTGCCTCTAATGACCATCTTTTACAAGAATGTCCTCTTCTAAAACGCTCTAAGGGAAGTAAACCTAGGATTAATACCTCAATTCTGAAAACCCTTCCCTCGTCTTCCTCTCATCAGTTTGCTGTACCTCTAATTTTACAGTGGGACAAAGAAAGAATCAAGAGTGAGGCCATTATTGATTCTGGAGCTACGGGGATATTCATAGATTCTTCGTTTGTTGAAGCCAATAAAATTCCTTGTCTGCAAAAAGCATCTTTTGTCTCTATCAGAGTTATTGATGGTTCTTTAATCCCCTCTGGTCCCATAAAAAATGGAACTATTCCTATTTTGACCACTATCAATAATAACCATTCAAATTTCTTGTTTTCGATATTATAAAATCCCCCCTTTTTCCAATCATCTTAGGAATCAACTGGTTACAAATTCATAACCCCTTCATTCGTTGGGCTCCCTTCCTTTGACTCAGAGTATTGTAAGGACAATTGTCTCCCATAAATTTCTATATTTCAATTAAGTCAAGAAACTTTAAAACCGGAACAATATTCAGATTTTTCTGATGTATTTAGTAAAAAAGAAGCTGAAACTCTTCCTCCCCATAGAATTTATGATTGTCCTATTGATCTAATTCCTGGTGCTCCTATCCCCTATGGTCACATATATCCACTTTCTGAAAAAGAATTGGAAATTCTTAAGGAGTACCTTGATGAAAACCTTCGTAAAGGATTCATACGTCCTTCTACTTCTCCTGCTGCCTCCGGGATCTTCTTTGTTAGAAACAAAGATCAAACTATACGTCCCATAATTGATTACCGAGCTTTAAATAAAATCACAGTAAAAAAATGCTACCCTCTACCTTTAATTCCTGAATGAATTGAAAGACTACGGACGTGTCAGGAAACTGACAGGGATCCAATACGCAGAGTGCGCACAGAAGGAGGTACGTATACCGGACCTTAGAATGGCCGGACTAACGTAAGGACAAAGCAAGAATAGTCAAAAGGTAAGCCGAGGTCAAGGGAGCCGGAGGACAGGTAAGCGAGATACAAGCCGAGTCAAAGGAGAGGAGAGGACAACAGGACAAAAGACAAGCAAGGGTCAAAACCGGAAACACAAGATAAAGAACGCGCTGAGTGACTAGCAAGCTAGAACCACGACAGGGCAATGAGCAGTAGTAAAGGTTTCCTTTAAATACCCTGTTACCTAAATAGAGACCACGCCCCAAAAAGGTCCGGAATAGCGGTTCCCGGCACTTCATGTAAATGCCGACGTCATGACGTCGACGCTAGCCGTCGCGTCATAAAAGGGGGAGGAGCTAGCGCGGCCGGCGCGAAAACGGCCGGAATATGCCGAAATGCTAGGGGAAGGGAGCCCCTAAGCAGAGAGGATGTCCTCCCTGGATACATTTCCTGCAGGTTTGGAACGTAACGTCACAGGCTGGGTCGACCCTTCAAGGATGATGGTACTGTGACCGAGGATGGACAAATGTTAGAGGTTATAACATGAAAAGAGTTAGGGATGCGTAGAGTAGGAGGTAGATCCAGCAAATAAGAAACCGGGTTGATCCTCCTCAGTACCCTGTAAGGACCAATGTAACGAGGAGCAAACTTCAAGGAAGGAACTTTCAGGCGAATGTGTCTGGTACACAACCAGACCCTATCCCCCGGAGAAAAAATAGGAGCAGGACGCCTACGCCTATCAGCATGTGACTTAAACACCGCGGAACTACGTTCAAGAATTTGTCGAGTCTGATCCCACAACTTTCTCAGGTTGGCTATATGAATATCAACCGACGGTATACCCTGGGAAGGAGACACCGACGGAAGAACAGTAGGGTTAAAGCCATAGTTCAAGAAAAAGGGGCTATTACGAGTGGAACCACAAACAAGGTTGTTGTGAGCAAACTCCGCCCAAGGAATCAGACCGACCCAGTCATCCTGGTGTTCAGAAACAAAACAACGTAGATATTGCTCAATTTTTTGGTTAGTGCGTTCGGCTGCTCCGTTAGATTGAGGATGATAGGCCGAAGAAAAATTCAGTTTGATGCCCAACTGTGAACAGAAGGATCTCCAAAAACGGGAAATAAATTGGGAACCCCTGTCTGACACAATCTCATTGGGAATACCATGTAAACGGAAAATTTCTCTAGCAAATATCACGGCCAGTTCGGGGGAGGACAGAAGTTTAGGCAAGGGAACGAAATGAGCCATTTTAGTAAACCTGTCAAGGACCGTGAGGATAACTGTATGCCTATTTGAAGCTGGTAGATCAACAATAAAATCCATAGCCAAACAAGCCCAAGGTTTGTTGGGAACGACTAAGGGCTGCAATAAACCACAAGGGAGATCCCGCGGAAGTTTATTCCTGACACAAACATTGCAAGCCTTGACAAAGTCTTCCACATCCCTACGTAAACCGGGCCACCAGAAGTCTTTGGAGATCAGACAGTAAGTTTTGTGGATGCCGGGGTGACCAGCGATCTTGCTATCGTGGAAACAGCGAATAATGTCCACTTGGAATTTGGGAGACACGAACAAGCGGCCCACAGGAGTACGTTCGGGAGCAAGAGATTGTTCGTTCTGAATATCAGCGAGCAATGGAGAGTGTATTTTGACATTGGTGTTGGCGATAATATTGACTTCAGGAATAATAGGGAACAAAGTATCCTCTGTAGAGGTGGTAGGTTCGTGCTGACGTGACAAAGCGTCTGCCTTAGTGTTCTTAGAACCAGGCCTGTAAGTAAGCACATAATTAAAGTGTGTAAGGAACATAGACCAACGTGCCTGCCTGGCAGATAATCTTTTGGCCTCCCCCATATACGATAAATTTTTGTGGTCAGTCAAGATAGTAACTGGGAGGACGGTGCCCTCTAACAAATGTCTCCATTCCTTTAATGCCATAATGATAGCTAAAAGTTCCCTATCACCAATGTCATATCTCCTTTCAGTGTGTGATAGTTTCTTGGAAAAAAAACCGCATGGGTGCAGCGGCTTATCTAAACTTTGTCGTTGGGATAACACTGCGCCTATCCCTGTTTCAGACGCATCAACTTCAAGTAAAAAGGGTAGAGAGGTATCAGGATGAACTAATACAGGTGCTGAGGCAAAAGACTGTTTGAGCGTTTCGAAAGCAGATAAAGCCTCAGTAGACCAGGTTTTGGTATCGGCTCCTTGTTTGGTCATATTAGTGATAGGAGCGATAACAGAGGAGTACCCTTTAATAAAACGTCTGTAATAATTAGAAAATCCAAGAAATCTTTGTATGGCTTTGAGTCCCTTAGGTAAAGGCCAATCTAAAATCGATTTTAGTTTGGTCGGGTCCATCATAAACCCGTCTTTGGAAATTACGTAACCTAAGAAAGTTACCTGA